GTCATCTGAAGCCCTAGTGATTATTGCGCATGCGCGATTTAATCACGATTTGATTTCGCCCAGCCCTAAACTGAACTATGCAATTTGCCTCATGATCTCTTCGCCACTCAACTGCCACAATATTTTATTTACATGCGGTGGCTGTGCTGGAGCATTTCATGAGCATCAACCCGGTGAGTGAACAGCAGAATGGAAGCGACTTCACCAGACGAATGATGAGCATATATATAGACGCTCGTTAGTGGCTGTATTTAATTCAGGCAAGTTACGTCTTTATTGGAACAGGACATGACGGTTTATCTTCGCATTCGTGACTCCAACTTCACGAGACTAATGATGAGCATGTAGACATCAGAGAGAGAATTAAATTCAGCGCTTTTATTTAGAAGATGCACTCATCCATGACTGTAAATTATTTAATTCATGCAAAGTTACATATTTATTGGGATAGGACTTGATGGGTTATTTTAGCCGACCAACTTCACGAGACTAATGATGAGCATATAGACAACATGATGAGAGAGAATTAAATTCAGCGTTTTTATTTACAACATGTGCTTATTAATGGCTGTATATTATTTAATTCAGGCAAAGTTAGGCTACGTCTTTATTGTGACAGGATTTGACGGATTATCTTACGTGACTCTGTGAGTTCGTCTTTATTTCTTAGAGCCAAGCTGCATAAACTACATATCAGTCATTTATGTAACACGTACATCCAATTTGTGCATTAATAGCTGTTATGTTAAATAAAGTTTACTAAATATAGCAAAGCAAGTAAGTATACTTTACCTGTGCACGCAGTTGTTGTTTCCCCTCAGACGCCTTGCTGCAATGGCAATCATGCTCGTAATTCTCAAAACAAACAGAAGATGGCGGCGTTTATCGGTGAACCCGATATTACAAAACCGATAACCGATTATGGTAAAATGCTTAAATATCGGGAAAAATATCGGTAAATCGATATATCGGTTGATCTCTAGTATTAAGTGATCTTTGACCACAGCGATTCCTTATCTTTATCGTTGAAACACTTTATACCTGTTATGCTCTTCATGTGTTTCTCTTTAATTTCTCATAATGTGAGAGGGCTTAGAAACCACTGTAAGCAGAAAGCTATATTTCTATATCTTAAACAGTTTAATACCCATTCACATTTACTAGAATGTCATTCTACATAAGTGGATATTAATTTCTGGAGATCCCAATGGGGATCAGACTTACAGCAGCTCATGGGGCTACTCACTCAGCTGGAGTATGTATGTTGAAAGCAGGCTAAAGTGCAGTTCGGTCCCCAGCGAGTCTCTCAGCGCGGCGTGTCTCAGCGCAGGGGGCAGCCGGAGCGCCGCAGACTCGGGCGGCTACATGAGTATATTGGGAATAAA